TCTTTACTCCCATTTTCTCTGAAGGGTGGGGCTGTGTTCCCTCCCTGTTATTTGACCTGAGGCCCAACTATGGTGGAGATTTTGAAGATAATGGTAACCTCCTTCACAAGGTCCGGTGCACACACTGCTACACTCAGTGCCCCAACCCTGCAGCAGACCACCACCGGCCCATGCCTCCACCGGAGACTCCTGGACACTCACAGGCAAGCCTTGGTCAGTCTCTTGTGGGGCCATTGCTCCCTTCTCCTGGGTCCTGGCACACACAAGGTTCTGTTTGTGCTCTCCAAGAGTCTGTTTCCCCAGTTGTTTCCCCATTGTTTCTCCCACAATGCGGGAGACCTGGGTTTGATCCCTGGGTTGGGATGACCCCCCTGGAGAAGGAAATGGCAACCCACTCCAGTACCCTTGCCTGGAAAATCCCATGGACAGAGGAGCCTGGTAGGCTACAGTCCATGGGGTCGCAAAGAGTCGGACATGACTGAGCGACTTTCACTTTCACACAAGTTTCGGGGCATCACAGCTGGCACAGTGATAAAGATTCTTCCTGCGAATGCAGGGGATGAGAGTTTGATCCCTGGGTTGGGAAGATCCTGTTTACATACACACACACACACAACCCCCAAGTTCTCGTTTACACACACACACACACCCCAAGCTCCTGTTTACACACATACCCAGCCTGTGTGTCTTAAGGCCCCATAAGAACACCCAGAAGGCAAACAGTGTTTTACCCTGTCTTCCTTAGTAGATAGAAACAACCTACCTGACTCAAGAATAGAACCAGGTTTTCCTACATTGCGGGCAGATTCTTTACCAGCTGAGTATAAACAATAGTCTATTTAGATAAAAAAGTATCTGATTCAGACTTTTATTTACATAAACAGGCCCTTCTGTTAGTCCCAAATAGTCCATCTAAACTAGCCCACCTACATAGCCTTAATTTGTTACTCCTGACCTCTGGTAACTTCAATATAATTTCCCTAACACCTAACATAGCACCTGACTCAGAATACTAACTTTGTAATAAGTATGTGTTGACTAACTCTCAGGAATTAGTTGACTTAATGATTAAAACGAGGACTTCAAATTGTGTATTTAAGTTTTCTGCATCACGGTGAATCTATTATTTTTGACTGTACCAAAATCTTTCTTCAGTCTTCTTGTAAAGGTACTAGTACTATTTTGATTTAGAGATCCATCCCTCGGTCACTGGATACAGTTCTGGAAGGCTCCTGAAAGTTACATTCCTTATTCTGGACAAGATATGGGAACAGGACCATGCTGGGCAAAGCCTATACTTTTTAAATATAATTTGAAATTTGAATGAAGTGATACAGGAATTGAAGACCAAAGGTACTTCCTATTCTATCTACTTTAACTCATATATTTTCTTAACACTGTTTTCAGATTTATTTTTGACTTATGAGCTACCCACAAATTGCAAAAAATCTTAACACATTCAGAATTAGATTCTGTTGCCTGTAACCAAAGGATGGTAGTCACACATAGTTCTAAAACTCTGTGAAACTTAGGAGTGAGAGGAGAAGAGTAGAAAACAGCAGAAACACAGGGAGTGGTTGTGCTGCGCTTAGCTGCTCAGTCGTGTCTGCCTCTGTGACCCCATGGACTGTAGCCCACCAGGCTCCTCTATGGGGATTCTCCAGGCCAGAATCCTGGAGTGGGTTGCCATTTCCTCCTCCAGGGGATCTTCCCCACCCAGGGATCGAACCAGAGTCTCCTACATTGCAGGCAGATTCTTTATTGTCTGAGCCTCCAGGGAAGCCCTCTATTCTGGAGTGGGTTGCTGTTTCCTTCTCCAAGAGACTCTTCCCAACCCACGGATTGAAACTAGGTTTCTTGCATTGCAGCCAGATTCTTTACCCTCTGAGCCTCCAGGGAAGACCCAGAACACTAGAGTAGGTAGCCTATCCCTTCTCCAGGGGATCTTCCCAACCCAGGAAGAAGGGGAAAAAAAAACCACTGAGTGGAGAGGCATATTAACTATGAAACCAAAAGTTAAGTTTTACTAAAAAAAAATCTTTTTTTTTAACCAAAAGATGAGGTATATATATATATATTTTAATTATTAAGTGTGAACCTGCAGTCAGTGGCTTTCAAATTTGGTGAGCATAATTATCACTAGGGACTCTGGTTTAAATATAGATCTCTAGGCCTTGCACCCAGAGGTTCTGATTTGGCTGGTCCATTAGGGGCCTGGGGAGATGCATAACTACAAGCTTCTCGGATGATTCTGGGACCATGCTTTGAAACCTGTGCCTTAGGTCCTACTGTGTATGAAAAAGAGCAGCTAATCAGATTGGCAAGGACAACAAAATGGGCCTGCTCCCAGCTCAGTTTTGCTAAACAATCCCAAACTTCTAGTTCTGGCTTTGTGAGAGATAATGGTGACCTACCAAGTGGATTACAAGTGGATTATATGTGTAATAAGACAAACGCTAATTTAAATTTTTGTTTTGCTGAATAAGAGTCATGAAATTATGAGGGAGAACTTAGAAAACTAAAACTATTATCTTTTTTATAGCCCAATTTTTCTAATTTAGAGAAGAGCACTTTTCATATGGGTATAATTTTATTTCCTATTGATCTTTTATATACACACTTGTATTCATTCAAAATACCACCGCCATCTGCATGACAAGAAAATCTTTATCATAAAGGGTGAAAGAAAATTCATTATTACAGAGAATTCCTTAAAGTGGAGGTGGGGAAGTGCCAAGACATTAATATGCTACTAACCAATGCTACAATTAAAGTTATCAGGCCAATATAGGTATATTGTGTGTAGTTTCCATTGATTTATTTGAAAAATTGAGTTTATTTTTTTAAAGTCAAGGTAACAGGAAAAAAAATTTGATCCCATATGGTCCTACTTTACCATACTTACACAAGAAAGAATCCCAAATACTTTTCAAGAAATATGGTTACTGCTTCTGTATAAGACTTTAAAAAAAAATTTACTTATTCATGACTGTGCTGGGTCTTCACTGCTGCACGGGCATTGCTGTGGCGAGCAGGGGCTGCTCTCTAGGGTGGTGCATGGCCTTCTCGTGGCGGCTTCTCTTGCGGCTGAGCAAGGCTTAGGAGCACGTGGGCTTCAGTAGCTGCAGTACCTGGGCTCAGTAGCTGTCCCTCCCAGGCTCTGGAACGCAGGCTCAACTGTTGGCACAGTGGCTTAGCTGCTCCAAGGTATGTGAGATCTTCCCAGACCAGGGATCGAACCTGTGTCTCCTGCATTGGCAGGTGGATTCTTTACCACTGAGCCACCAGGAAAGCCCCTATACAAAATCTTTCTATAAAAACTATAAGACAGATATGTTACAGGAAATAACCAAGGCCTGTCTGTGTTTACATGCAATATCTATTTTTGGTTAAACTGCTATTTTACTTAACTACATTTATAATACTTTATGATACTTTATTTGTAGTCATTATTCAGTTATACCATAGATACCATATAAAACTTTCATCCTGGAAACAAAGAACAGCATTTTAAAATTCCTTTTAAATTTTAATTTCAATTGAAATTCAATGACATTTTAAGTTCAATTCAACATGATTCAAAAATTGTTTATTGAAAACCTATAAGAGGTTCTTTACTCCACTAAACACTGGAGGGGGCGGGAATCTCTAAAGTGAAAGATTTTATGATACAAGTCTAAAAATCAAGAGATTCAAAAGTAGATTTTTTAAAAAAACAGAAGCTAGCAAAGGCATAATAAAGATGACAATGAGGTCATGGTTGTATAATATGGAACCCAACACACAGTCCTCAAGGAAGTCCATGTGATAGTACTAAAGTTAACAGAAGACCTCTGTTCTCTGTCCTACTTCCTGCACATGACACTCACAAGCTTTAACTATGGAGGAAAATGTGCAGTAAAAACTAGTGTCTGAGCACTGAATTCATATTCGGGAATTAGTCATGGATTTGCAGAAGCTCTTTTCATTATTTATATACTAATCATAGAATCAAAGAAATAAGAAACACAGAACATTTATTAGAACTTCAAGCTTTAAAAAGTTGTTTTATTCTATGCTGCTGGAATATGTGACAATCACAATAGACCATGTAGACTGTGACTTTTACCAACAAGTTACCAAACATCCCCTTTCTGCAGCAGAGGACTAGGTTAAAGGGTAGTTATTTCTCTTGTAACCCTTCTTTGCAGTATTTTGCATTGGTCTTTGGCTTTCCCTTCCTGGTAATCTTCATTTACCTGATAATCCTTACTTTTGATGATAATTCTCAGACTATGGAGAACAGGGGGAAGTTCAGTTGCTTCCGTCATTCCAGCACCAGGAATATGTGTTTTTTAAATTCAATTCATCGTGACTCAACAATTGTTTATTGGATAGCCACATGATGCTCAGTACTTCCTTAGACACTAGAAAGGATGCAAAAGATGTCTTGCAGGATTCCTGCCCCCAGGACCTGGAAATCCTGTTGAATGGTAGATAGAGAAGATAGAGTACTACAAATAGAGATGACAGGTGAAGCTTTGGGAATGAGGGTGTTGATGGTAGCAGTACCCCATAGCAAGGAGCTGTCTTGTGTTACTAGACTTGTTTGTTTTTTTTAATGAATATTTCCATACTGTGTCTCTTGGCTTACACGTGCTTTTAATCCTCAAGAGAATAACAGTAGGAACATTCTTACAAATTCAGGCAGGACAGTATTCAGCCGAGTAGAAATGTGCAAATTATGAGTAGATGGTTGTCTCTCTCGGTGCTAGAAGGCTGGGTTACATAAAGCAGATGTGAATAATAAAGGAAAGGAATTCTGCATCTGCTGGAATGTACATCTGGATGATTCCCCTATCAAAAAAGCAGTGAAGTTCAAATTCCTTTAATCCTGAAGCAAATTTAAATGAAAAGAATACATGATTGGCACTATGAAATCTTGCCCAACCAGAGTCAAACAGAAAATCATCAGCAAGCAGTAATAAACTGGGAAATGAACTTTGAAAGAGAAGCAGGAAATGGAACTGAGCTCCAGGGAAATGACTCTCCCCCAGCTTAGAGCTAGGGCAGCCTTGAAGATCTTCCGGACATGGTCTACTTTTTACAAGGATTACAACATTGTAATCTCTGCTCCCTCTGTTAAAAGTGATTGGCTCACTAGAGGCAAAACTCAGCTGAGCACTACCACAGAAATGAGAGGTTTTTGTTGGGCTGTGCTGGGTCTTATTTGCGGCATACAGTGTCTTTGTTGTGGCATGCAAACTCTTAGTTGTGGCATGTGGGATCTAATTCCCCGAACAGGGACTGAACCCGGGTTCCCTGAATTGTGAGTGTGGAGCCTTAGCTACTGTACCCTTCGGAAGGTCCAAATGGTAAGTTTTATGCATTGATTTTATTCACGGTTGTGTCAGAGCCATATGGCTCCAGTATAAAATGCTACAGAGCTTCGGCATAGTTTTTCTTGGTCAACAGGCAACTGGAGATGGAAACCAGCTCACTTAGAGCCCGTGGAGCACCTTAAACTGTTTCACAAGCAATAACTTAGACTATGCATTAGCAAGCAGAAAGGCTGTGGGAATTTACTATATAAAAAGAGGATGATAAACATGAAAAAGCTAGTTAGTAATCAAGAAAATAAAATACTGTTTTTCTAAAAAATGTCAGGTGTTAGACCTTCCTAGAAGATGAGTGGTAACAAGTTGATGAGCCAGGAGAACAGGTTAGAATAATGTTGGCTCAAGTCTGTAGAGTAAAATGCTTCATTCTGTTTCATACCATTGCCTTTTTTTTAGGGCTTCTTTATGCAGTGTAAATAATATTGTTCTCAGAGAGTACACATTCTTTGGCAAGCCTTTACTAAGTGAGTCAAAGCCACCTACCTTTTGAGCACCCACCTTGTTCAAAGTGCCATTCCAATCTTGAGGCTACAGGAGGACATATATATATATATATATATATACACACACGTGTGTGTGTGTGTGTGTGTGTGTGTGTGTGTGTGTGTGTAGCTTCTACCCAGAGTTCTGTGTAGGCTTTCCAGCGGAGACTGAAATCTAGGTGGGCCTATTGCCTACACTTCCATAAAAATATGAAAGTCCCACCCAAGGATCTCAGCACCCTTCTTTATTCCCCATCCTAAAATTACAGCCTCTGCACATTTGTACACATGTGTAGGAACCTCCACTGTGTATCACTGCCATGCTTTGCTTCCTTGTTAGGTACCATGTAAAGTCCCTTTTGCAGCTGTTGAGTACAAGAAAGATACAGTGTTAGGATAGAGAACTATTGCCCAAGTGGCTTCAGTTCAGTTCAGTCAGTCACTCAGTCATGTCCCACTCTTTGTGACTCCATGGACTGCAGCACACAGGCTTCCCTGTCCATCACCAACTCCCGGAGCTTACTCAAACTCATATCCATTGAGTTGGTGATGCCATCCAACTGTCTCATCCTCTGCTATCCCCTTCTCCTCCCTCCCACCTTCAATCTTTCCCAGCATCAGGGTCTTTTCAAATGAGAAATTTTTTTGCATCGGGTGGCCAAAGTCTTGGAGTTTCAGCTTCAGCATCAGTCCTTCCAATGAATATTCAGGATTGATTTCCTTTAGGATGGACTGGTTGGATCTCTCTGTTGTCCAAGGGACTCTTAAGAGTCTTCTCCAATACCACAGTTCAAAAGCATCAATTTTTTGGTGCTCAGTTTTCTTTATAGTCCAACTCTCCATGTCAGTAGTCATCCATACATGACTACTGGAAAAATCATAGCTTTGACTAGACGGACCTTTGTTGGCAAAGTAATGTCTCTGCTTTTTATTATACTGTCTAGGTGTCTATAGCTTTTCTTCCAAGGAGCAATCATCTTTTAATTTCATGGCTGCAGTCACCATTGGTAGTGATTTTGGAGCCCCTGAAATTAGTCTCTCACTGTTTCCATTGTTTCTCCATCAATTTGCCATGAAGTGATGGGACCAGATGTCATGATCTTTCACTTTCATCAAGAGGCTTTTTGGTTCTTTGCTTTCTGCCATAAGTGTGGTGTCATCTGTATATCTGAGGTTATTGATATTTCTCCTGGCCATCTTGATTCCAGCTTGTGCTTCATCCAGTCCAGCATTTCTCATGCTGTACTCTGCATAAAAGTTAAATAAGCAAGGTGACAATATACAGCCTTGATACACTCCTTTTCCTATTTGGAATCAGCCTGTTGTTCCATGTCCAGTTCTGTTTCTTCTTGACCTGCATACAGACTTCTCAGGAATCAGGTCAGGTGGTCTGGTATTCCCATCTCTTTCAGAATTTTCCACAGTTTATTGTGATCCACACAGTCAAAGGCTTTGGCATAGTCAGTAAAGCAGAAGTAGATGTTTTCTGGAACTCTTTTGCTTTTTTGATGATCCATCGGAAACTGGCAATTTGATCTCTGGTTCCTCTGCCTTTTCTAAATCCAGCTTGAACATCTGGAAGTTCACAGTTCATGTACTATTGAAGCCTGGCTTGGAGAATTTTGAGCATTACTTTGCTAGCATGTGAGATGAGAGCAATTGTGTGGTAGTTTGAGCACTCTTTGGCATTACCTTTCTTTGGGATTGGAATGAAAACTGACCTTTTCCAGTCTTGTGGCCACTGCTGAGTTTTCTAAATTTGCTGACATATTAAGCAGAGCACTTTCACAGCATCATCTTTTAGGGCCTGAAAGAACTCAGCTGGAATTCCATCACCTCCACTAGCTTTATTCGTTGTGATGCTTCCTAAGGCCCACTTGACTTCACATTCCAGGATGTCTGGCTGTAGGTGAGTGATCACATCACCATGATTATCTGGGTCATGAAGATCTTTTCTGTATAGTTCTTCTGTGTATTCTTGCCACCTCTTCGTAATACCTGAAGCTTCTGTTAGGTCCATACCATTTCTGTCCTTTATTGCTTCCATATTTGCAAAGATGGGTTCGCAAAGTGGGTTCAGGAAAATCAAATCATCTCTTCCACAATCCCCCCCCCAATTAAATTCTTGTATCAAACTAAAAGGTATCAAAAATGGTGGCAATATTTCAGCTAACGTTAAAAAAAATTATCACACCACAATCAGACATTTTCATAATAAGCTGCCCTCATTCCTAAGTAAATTTGATATGAACAGTGTTGGATAGACAGAATAGATGAAGCAACAAGGTCATTTTACATAACAAGTGCTCCCCAAAGCTTGTCATATCATGGTACACAGATAATCACAATACTTTAATGGTACGCTGGGGTAAAGGAACACTTTTAATGATGAATTGCCTGGAAGCTCTTATGCCTCAGGCCCATTCAGGACTAATATCTTGGCATACCTGTTCATTCATTCACACTCATCATTTGCAAAGCTCTGATCTAAGAATTTGATTGTGAATTATTTAATTCATACCCTAGAAACAACTAAGGTGTTTTATCTAACCCCTAACCGACTCAACACTTCCAATGAGAAAAGAGTATGTCATTGGATGACACAATTTGAGGTGGCTGTTGGGATAAGTCTTTTTTTTTTAATTTTTATTTTTTACAGATGCAATTGCACTGTAAATTTTCAAGTGAGATAGTCATAAAAATCATTGAGAAATTCTTAGCAAGAGGTTACCTGCTCAATCTTTTTGTTTTAAAAACAAAAAAAGCAAGGCACAGGCATCACACATTAGTGTTTTTGTGGAGGGAAGTTATGAAACTAGATGAAGGCAAGATTTCTTAGCTTTCAGTCTCGGGCACTTTGCACCACATTAGTGGTTTCCAACTGGCAGCATCAGCATCATGTGAGAACTTGTTAGAAATGCTACTTCTCAGGCACCACCCCAGACCGAATGAATCGGAAACTCTAGGGGTGACACCCTATAAGCTGTTTTAACAAACTCTCCAAATGGTCCTGGTGCACATTAAGGTTTGAGAGCCACTGCACCCCCATGGAGCTCTGTCACTGAAGGCTGGAGAGGCTGATTTTGGAGCAAGACTGGCCCTCCGCAGTCAGATGCTAACCACCAAGCTGGACCATTCGTGGAAGGAATGAGGCCTCACTCTGACAGTGCAGATGGACTTTTGGGTTAAACAGTAGAAGAAGCAGATGTTAGTAGTATAAGGGAGATTCCAAATTCAGGACCTAAGTAGGCACTCCAATTCTCTAAGTATGACTAGGTCTTTTACAGCCTAGGCCTTACTTCCATCTTAACCTCAATATAAGTTTCAACTCTGTAGATTTGGGAACTTTAAGGGTATATTTAAAAGTTTATAATGAAAACCAGTAGCAGAAAAAAATGTCACTTTTCAAAATTGACCTTTGCTGCTTCCTGTATTAAACATAATTATTTCAGAAATGAAAAACCTCTCTAAATGTACTTTATATAACATGTGGAAGATTAAGGGGAGGAGAGGAAAAAAAAATCTCGAGATAGGTAAGTCTGAGTCTGCCTATTTTACATTATTACTGTTAAATTCCTTTGCTCTTAAAACCACTCAAGTTTCTTTTCCATGTGACTCACTAGCAAATTTCTGTTCCTTAGATGTGGGTCCTGCATTGTGTGGATCAAGGATATCAAATAACCAAAATATGAAAAATAAAATAAGCACAGCTTAAATTTTAGTCTAAGAATAAGGAACTAAACAAGTAGAAAATCCCCTTTCACGATTGAGAAACTCATGTTAAGCTTAGCAATATTAGTAGTATTAAAGTACTTTTATGTTATGTCCTCAGGATATCCATGAATAATAAAAGCTACAACCGACACTGTTGCCATTAGTTAAATGTGGTTCATACAAAGATCTTATAAACTGCTTCTAAAAGCTGTACTATGTTTCACTCATTTCCTTTTATCCCCCTCTATCCTTTTTAAAGACGTGGACTCATATTTTTGGATTGTGATTGTGTGTGAATGCATGCTCAGACTTCCAGGCTTCTCTGTCCATGGAATCTTCCAGGCAAGAATACTGGAGTGGGTTTCCAAGCCCTTCTCCAGGGGATCTTCCCGGCCCAGGTATAGAACCTGCGTCTCCGGCATCTCCTGCATTGGCAGGCAAATTCTTTACCACTGAGCCACCTGGGAAGCCCTGAAATGATAAGATAATTATTATGGTTATAAATTCAATTTTTTTTCAGATAGTCTTCCATTTGCCACCCATAACTAAGCCATTCCTGTATCAGAGATTGTTGGTACAAAGAAAGTAAGAATTTTGTTAAGAGATACTGTGAAATAAAATTAAGACCTTATAGTAAAAAGTTTGTTGTTATTTAAGACTGTTGCTTCTGGTTTTTGTGTCTTTCCTTTGCAACATGTACTTCATTTTTAGGTGTGCAAGCATAATTAGAACTCAGTG